AGCCCCGCATCGGGCTCTCTGCTCCGCAGGAAGCCTGCTTCTCTCTCCCACTCTCCCTGCTTGTGTTCCCTCTCCTGCTGTGTCTCTCTCTGTCATATAAATAAATAAAAATATTAAAAAAAAAGTTGGTAAGTGAAAAAGAAAAGTAATAAACAACACAAGTGGTAAAAAAAAAAAATGCATGAAGGTGTTGCTTATAGGACCATGGGAAGAAAAAAACCCTCATCCTACCCAGTGTCACACCCACACATGCCCCGTGCAGGAATATAAACTTCATAGCTCTTGATGCAAAGTTAGAGAAACGATCATCTGTAAAGTGAGAGATGATCACTGCCCTGTGCCTTCGCTAGAGGTTTGTTGTGTTTATTAAGTGAGATCATCCTGACGCAGCCCCTTCCCATATAAGCTTCGGGACCACAGTAGCGAGTGCGGGGTCGGGGGGAAGGGGATATTTGAAACTCCTGTCATTCTCACTTTGCAATATGTGTTGGCTTTCTGGTCCACACACCACATACTGTAGAATCATCTCTTCAAGTTCCCCAAACCTAAGCAAACAAAGGAATCCTGAGGATTTTAATCACAGCATTGAATTTACCGGGTAATTTAAGGAGAGTCCGTATCTTTAAAAAAATAATTCCTAATTATTAAAATAATTTTAAGCCAATTAATTTTTAAAAAATAATATTCAGCCTTTTTACCCAGGAGTGTGGAGTCTCTCCCTTTATTACAAATCTGTTCTTGCTTCTTGTGGTGAACTTTTACAGGCTTCTCCAAACAGATTCTGGATTATTTTTGTTAAAATTCATCTTAAGGGATTAAAAAAAAGCTTTTCCAGGTCTAGTAAACGATTCCTTTTTATTGTTGTTCCAGAAAGGTTTGCTGAGAGTTGAGTGTGCCAGCCACGTGAGGAGGCACAGGAGGAAACGGGGTCCCACTGCCCCGTTCAGTGGATAGCTTACCACTGGGAGGTCAGATTTCCACGCCTTCATTCTCTGACCAGCCTCTAAGGAGCAGTTTTAACAGGCTTTCAGTTGGATTTTAAAAGCATATGATCTTATTGCCTACACATAATTATTTCAACTCCTTGTAGACTTTCTTTCTTTCTTTCTTTTCTTTTTTAGAAACATTTACTATAATTCATTGAATATAAGGTAACACTGATCTTAGGGATCACAATTATTTTATACACTTCTAAGCCATAGAACCTGCAGCAAATTATAATTGTAAGATGCCACGGACAGATGCTAAAATCTATAAGATAATTGTGTGCCTTAGAATCACTGCAATAGGATTGGCTTGTCATTGAAATGGGTACTCTGAGGAGCACAGTTTGGGGAACACATCGAGTACAATGCTGGCTCTGGGCGGAACCAGACTTCACAGCCAAGGGCTCTAGGTTCCTATGACTCCATAGGAGTCCTGGTGTCCTCCACACTTCCTCCCCGGTCTGGGAAGACCCTCCTGGAGGCTGGCGGGAAGGAGGCATGAGAAGGGTTTGGATGGAGGAAGGAGTGGTGGTGTTTATGGCACTTTTCTACTTCGACGACCAGGAAAGTGTCTCGGTCTTGTCTGAGTAAGTGTGTATGTGTGTGTATAAATTTTTTGTACTAAAATGAGTATGAAGCTGACTTGCTCAAATTTCAGAATTACTTGCTTTGTCTGTTTAATGAGAACATGGACTTTGCAATAATTGGACCAAACCCCTAAGTCTTGGCTCTGTCTTTTATGAGCGGTAAGACGTAGGCAGAGGCAGGCGGGGTACGAGAAGGACCAAGGGGCTGGGGACACCTGCCCCACCTAAAAGGGAGCAGCCTTTGAGTGGCCCCAGACAGCCTGGGCCAGAGGGAGCACAGCCCAGTGTGCTCAGACCTGCTCATTTCCCAGAGAAGCTAGAAATCCAGACATTTACGGGAAATCTCCCACTTTTAAAATGTTGGCAAATAATTCAGGTATTCTGTGCAGACCCAAAACACTGTGTAGGTCCGTGGACTTAGCCTTTGGTCATGAGGTGCTCAGTGCAGAAGGATTCTCAGAGAAGGGTCACAGAGATCTGAAATCTGCCATCATCCCTGTCCCCTTGCCATGCGTGAGAAAACAGCTGAAATGCAGGGATGCGTTAGAAACGGTGGTGTTTAGCCAGTCACGTTTGATTACATAATCCTAGGAAAGAAAGGAAACAAGGTTCAGCTACCTTGCATCAGAAGCAAAGAAGAATTCCACAGCTTTATCGCCAACGGCATGAAGGCAGGTCGAGCTGTCCAGCCTCTTCATCCTCGTTTTGCAGATATTCTTCACATTCTCAAAATTGCCTAGTGAATGAAGGAAAAGATCGCAAGTCCCATTAAACTATTTTGTTTGAATAACATGAAGCAAGGCTCCAGCTTCCCCTTTGAATATGTGTGGGAGAAATTTGCAGTTTTTAGCTTTGGCTGCGTCAGCCAAATCGTGCAAATGATCCCCAAATAGCACAGTATCACTGCAAGAGCATTTAAATGGCTGCAAACAAAACCAAACCCAATCAACACTCATCCCAGAGCACGGACGCCTTTATATAATGGAGCTGCGTGCCGGTCCCTGGACTTGTGTGTGTAGCTGAAAATATCCATAATAAAAAGCTTCTGCAAAAAACGGAGCGAAGGCTCAGCTGCAGGAAAACCTCTCCAACCTGGAGCCGTGTGCAGCCTGTCTCCAAGGGGGGCTGCCTCCACCAGAGCCCCGTTGCCTTGTTCAAGTCCTTTTCGAAACACTTACGTGTCCTATACAAGATGGGGATCTGTTCCGTGGAGAGTTTGTATTTGCTCCGCACCCCAATGAGCAGTGGACTGCCTCTCCTGTAGAGGCAAGAGGGAGTCGAGTTACTCACTGCCTCACCAGGCCGAGGAAGGGCTGGATGGCCTCTGAGCACTGAGGAGGGGTCCCCGCATCCAGCCCTTCTCCCAGGGGAAAGTGTCCTGTTGAGATGCCACTGGATAGAGTCCTTGGCCCCTGGACGATGTTCCAGGGCTCGGAGGCAGGACCAACAGGCTAGCAGGAGAATTCCAGCTTGTTGCCATGGTGCCACCCATCTGCCCAGGGAATCCACACCGGGTTAGGTCACAGAGGCTGAGACATTAGTAGGCCCTGGAAGCGTGTAGGAACATTCGGCTTCTCCAGCCGGCCTCCATGTGTTGCCATCTGCAAAGTGGGATCCCTCGAGGCCCAGGATCTGCCCAAAGATTCTTTCCCTGCCTCCCCCCACCCTTTTGCCTAGCTCAGTTGCTCTCCGGCTTTGGGGGGCATTATAATGACTGGCTTTGGGTCTGCTCAACTTTCTGGGCCGCTTAACCTGCTTTCAAGGGTGCTTTTGCCGGCCCGAGTGACACCTCATGGGGCGAAGTTTCAAATCTCCGACCTGCACAAGGTGGATTCCATTGCAAAGGGGACAGTGCCTTGGCGCACTCTTGTAGCTGACCCAGGTGAGCACCTCGAACTCGAGTTTCCTCTCCCAGCCCCCCTTCTGGCTTCTCCAAGTCTGTGGCTTTGAAGAAGGTGCTGTGAGCACCTTGAATATTTTGGACCATCTTTTATCTTATCTAAAGCAAAGGGGGGATGCCTCAGTGGTGCAGTCGATTAAGCATCTGACTCTTGGTTTCGGCCCAGGTCATGATCTCAGGGTCCTGAGGTCAAGCCCTGCATCAGGCTCCACGCTCAGGGAGGACTCTGCTTGAGATTCTCTCTCTCTTTCTGCCCCTCCCCCCACTCTCATGCAGGTGCACTCTCTCTCTCTCTCTAAAATAAATAAGTTTAAAGCAAAAAGGAGACACGGTTCTGGGCCCAGTGGGGATCCAGCTTAAACAGCCTTTATAATACTGACAATGAGAAAATATTGTGGTTATCTAATTTTCTTGGCAAACGTCTCCCCCAAATTTTATTGTTGTAGATTGAGCTCTATGGTTTCTCTCAACCTTGCCACAAATAATGCTCCCAATACATCCCAAAGATTGCTCTGGAGGTTACGGAGTCACTAGTTATAGACAATTTAGAAAAATAAGGCTTTATTGCATCTTCACACTGCCGCCTTTCTACGTTCATTTAAAATGGTAATACCACGATGATACCAGATCCTAAAAGGGGTTTCTAAATTTGATAGTGATCCAGTGGTCTTTTACAATTCTGCGATTGAAGGAGTTAACTGCTGAAGAGTCCATTAGTTCCTAGCCTAGAAAAGACAATGAAATCATGACACATTCCCATCAGTTCCTGCCTACAGGATATGGCAGTCCGTGCGGGACCACCTCCTCGTTTCTGTGCGTCTCCCAGGGCCACGGGTACATTCTCAATATGGCTTCTCAGAAACTTCGGAGCAAAGTCTGCAGCCCACAGTGCACCAGGGGCCCTGCAGAGCTGGGCCTCCACCCACATCCTCACTCCCCACCAGCCCTTGAAGTTCAAGGGGCAGTGTGCTCATGACCTTGTTCACGGCTGTCTCCCATGCCTGATACACAGCAGGTATCAGTGAGTATGTACTGGAAGATCGGAAAGTCCCACCAGATCCCTGCAGATCCCTGCAGTGCTGAGCTCACTCCGGGCCCCTTGCTTTTGCTCACACTCGTCCTTCTGCCTGACTCCCCTAGGCTGACACCTGCCCCCACTGCATTATCCCCCCAACCCCCAACATAGAGCATCAAGACCTTCTGCCCCACTGTGTCCTCCCGCGCCAATGCTCAGTCCTTAAGGGGAGGATCAGGTTGGATGTCACTAGGTCCTCAGGGCCCAGTACGGAGTAAGTGCTCAACAAATACTCGTTGGATGAATGGAGGGAGGGATGGACAGAGGGACAGATAGATGTGTGCATGGATGGCCAGACTGATGGTGGATGGACAGATGGATGGATGAACAGATGGATAATGAACTCATCTGAATATAAAAGAACAGGATGGCACTCACACTCCCACTTGAATGAATCCACACAGCACTGGGGGCCATGGGACTCTAACAGAGGGATATGCGGGCTGACCCAGGGCCTCTCAGCTGATTCCTAGAGCCCCTGTTCTGTGAAGGTGATGAGGCTTGAGCTTGGGGCCTTCAAGACCTCTTCTTTACTGGATTCAAATCAATGTTCCCTTGTTCCTAGTTTCATTCTCATAATTTTGCATGCTTTTTCTGAAAAGAACCTCCAATACTGACCTGCAACCTGGATCTGCCCCTCACTATATACAATTTTATTTTTAATTTGAATTTGTTGTCAACTTCTGAAAATATGGAGATTTCAAATAAAAATCCGACTCTCTGGTTTCTCCTTTAAAGATCAGAAGCTCTGATCACAGAGCTGGGTGGGATACCCAAGCCACAGTTGTCCCTTGGAGACGACCTTCCAGATTGCCAGACACCCTACTTCTCCCCTGGGCTGCGAGCTAAGCAATTGCATTTTATTTATTTATTTATTCTTGCAGTGTCAATGTGTTGAGCCTCACCTGGTGGCAACGGCTTCTCCCGGGTACTGGATACTCTTGAAAACCAACGCGAATGCACCTTCCTGCAAACACAGCAAACAAGAGTGAGGGACGATGTGTTTCTGCCCCGGCCAACCTGGCCCACTGCCCCAGACAGGGGCCACTCCTCCTGGTGGGAGGGTCCTGGGGTCCCTCCCTCAGGGGGCTGAGTGCAGGACAGCTCGTGCAGCGTGATGGCAGGAGGAGAAAGTGAAAACAGCCAGTATCACGCTGAAGGACCAAAGCGCAGAACTTGTAGATTTCATGAGGCTCGACAGACACCCCCCACCCTGCCCAGGCCCACAAGGAACGAGTCCCAGCTCCGTGACCATCTGGGTGGGCGGGTGCGGTTAGAGCCTCGGGAAATGAGAACTGGGGCCAGGGGTCTTGCCCTGCGCCTCTGGGATGGCACCTACTCCGGGAGCAACTGTGAGAAGGAAAATTCATGCTGCACGGCAGCGCCTGGGTTCAAACCCCGGCTCCGCCCCTTCACTGGGCAACTGCCCAATTTGTGCCTCGCTGTGACAGAGATGAGAATAGTCCTACCTTGTTTGGCTGCTGTGAGCTCATGCACTTGAAGTCTCAGAACCGTGGTTGCCATATACAAAACCCGACAGAGGCACTAACATGTTAGGGTTGTTATTTCTTTAGCGAGGACTCTCTTTGCCCTCAGTGCTTTAGCTTCTTACGTCGTGCAAACCAGCATGGATCTAGTTCTCCTAACTCAAGACTCCCAGTGCTCTGTTTAACTCCTCGGTGCAAAATTCTCCCCTATATTCTGACCATCCTGTACTAATTTATCATGACCCTGCTAAGATTTGGGTTATGTACGACCAGCTATAAATCAGGTTTTCCGTGTGAAATTCCCCATGCTTTGGAATCCTGGGCAGACCCAAGGCCCCACATGGCCAGTGTGCATTGGCCAGTCTGCCAGCTCAGTCACACAGCCTGAGCGACCCAAAGTCAGTGTCCGCAGGCCTCTAAGGACCTTTCCAACTGCCCGAAATGAAGAGGCTTCAGGCAGATCCCAAGGAGTGAAGGAAGAAGGCAGGGTTGATTTCTTTATACAGGTGGGACCGGTAACTCACCAGCTGCTGAATGACTCTTTCGACCAGTGTTGAAAATGTAATGTCCTCAGTTTCTCTGTTGTCAAACACATACTTAATCAGCTTAGCGATGGTCTCGGTATCTGTTTCTGACTCAAACTCGTAGCCTTTGCTTTCCTGGAATATTTCGTGGGACCGAGTGTCAGATAAGGGGCATTGCGAAACCTCGGTCGCCTGGCCAGCTCCCTGTCCTCCCTCTTGACCCACCCTCGCAGCGACTTAAGATAAGAACAAGGATAAGAACAAGGAAACCGGGGATCAGAAGTGTCTGCCGGAAGCACAGAGCCCAACACAGCTGAGTCATTCCAGTATTCCCTGAGATCATCCCGCCTCAGAAGACTGACCTTGCCGTTAATCTGGACATTGCAAAATAACAGCAGTCGAAATGATCAAGTATGTTGAGTCAAATCCACCCACATCCCAACCAACACCGCAACCTCTTCATATGTTAGAAACTCGCCGTCTGCCTTCCCACCCCACATTCCGTTTGGTGTATGAGCTGATGTGTTTATGTAAACACTTGATTAAAGTGCAGACACCTTAATGAAAGGAAGTTCGTGTTCTTTTGATTATGTGAATCTGCAATAGCACTTGAGGGACGGAAAATGCCCTGCTGTCTTCTCTAGCAAGACATGGGGACGCCGTTTATCCAATGCGGGTGTGTGACTGAGAGCGGGTCTCACTCAGCTCCCGCCTGTTTCCGGCGGGAAACAGCCGGTTGGAAAGTTTCCGGGGAAGACCACTTGACTTACATGTCAACCCAGGGGGAGGATCTTACCAGAAACTTCCTCAGGTCTTTATAATTTGTGATGATCCCGTTATGGATGACCACGAATTCTGGAAAAGAAGTTTGGTGACGACAGAAAGGCTATGAGAAAGTGAAGTTCAAGTCAGAAATGAAGCAGTGATCTGACAGCTTGAAACTCTGCAAGCTCTATTCCCACAGAGTCTGCTGTTTACTGTCTCTTTCGCTGATGAGAGCTGAGGTCTACCATCTACTACGATTACAGTCCAAACCTGAGGAAATACACAGTTCTCTTTGGGTAAAAAGCCCGCCTGACTGCACACGGAGCTCTGACTTGTGGCCTACAGCATCGTCAAACACGCTTTGGTATTTATGTCAAATGGGGCAGGATGAACCCTTCATTACCCAGAAACTAGCCCAGGCATTCCAAAATGGCTTTGGGCTCAATGGGGCCACAAGCTAGCAGTCCACACGCGTGCTTTGTTCGACCCACACTACATTGTAAAAAGAGTTAAGTTTAAAAATTTTGAATTTTCACTTAAAAGTCCTGATTTTCTTGGGTCACCTGGGTGGCTCAGTCGGTTAAGCAGCTGCCTTCGGCTCAGGTCATGATCCCAGGGTCCTGGGATCGAGCCCCACGTCGGGCTCCCTGATCTGCGGGGAGTCCGCTTCTCCCTCTGCCTCTCCCCACTGTGCATGTGGGCTCTCTCTCTCTCTCTCAGATAAATAAATAAAATAATAAAATAAAATAAAATAAAATAAAATAAAGTTAAAAATCCCGATTTTCTCATGGGAGGAAAAATCTGCAGAAATTCTGGCATCCCTGGGCTCACCCACATTCCTGTGTGGCCATGACCACTTCTCTCTGCAGGGTCTGCGGGATGGGCTGTGGCTTCTCCCGCCTCCCCAAGCACCAGCAGCAAACCCTGCTCATGTCAGGCTACTCCCTGCATGGGGGACCCCCTGGTCAACCCTGGGAGAGCGAGGGATACATCTGCTTAGTCACCACTGCATTTTCTCAATCAATGGTTGATGAATAACTTGAAGGTCTAAAACCAGCCTGAGGTTTTTTTTTTTCTGGGTAAGTAACCCCCATTCCTCCTGAGCCCAGATGATAGAAAGGCCTTTTATTGACCTTGAGATTGAGTAATTCTACGAGGATGTATCTACATATTATTGTTCAGTGAAACTTCGGCTCTCCAATTCGTTTTTTTTTCAGTACAGGATAGTCCTTTACTCTTTTTCATTATTTTTATCATCATGTCCTCTCTACCTTTTTTTTTTTTTTTTACAGCCTATTGTTTACTTTGGGAAGGTCACCCAAAAACTGGGAGGGCTCGAATAGAAAAGCCATTTTGGCCAATGTGCTAGGCACAGCTGAACTCTATTACAGCTTTACAGGTTTGTTTTTGTGGTTTTTGGTTTTTTTTAACTGTTTTATTTCTTCTGTTCTCTTCTTGGGGACATTAGTAATTCACCAGTTGGATCTCTATAAATTCACCTGATGGATCTCCGTATCCACCCCCCTCTTATTTTTCATACCGACTCTGACACGGTGTCTTCAGATTATTTTCTTAACCCTGTCCCATTTTTTCATTTCAGTCAATTGTCTTAACTTCTCCTCAGTAGTTTGTTTCCTAGAATCTGTGTTTTTTTTCTTTTTTTGCTAGAACTCTGTGTAATTTTCTTGTGTAATGCTTTTGCTGGGTGTAAGTCTTCCTTCAAAATATGCTCTTCAGTTATCCCTGATGAGTTGCTAAAGAGATTCTACGAATCTTTGCTTACTTCTCACGTTGTTTTTAATTACTCATCCTGAGTCAGGGCAGGCATTTTCAAGTTTGGGTGTGTGTGTGGGGGGGATCTTCTCGGAACCTCCTTGCTTGGGGGGACACAGAGTCATCGTCAACACTGAAGTGGGGGTTCATCTTATCACCTGGGGTGGTAGCATCTCAGGGTGCATGGTCTGGGGACAGTGTTTTCTCTGGGACCAGCCTCTGTATCTGGCTTGGGATTTGGCGGGATGCACATTCTAGGTCTTCAGCACCATGGGGTCTGCTGTCTGCCTCCTGGATGTGGGGGACCTGCCCCAGTAGTGGGATGTGCCATGGTTCAGGGCATGGACCAGATCCAAGGGTCAGTCCCTAGCAAAAACTCATTACCCAAGACCCCAACTGTTCTGCCGAGCAGGGGGCATCGGGCTCATCCTTCCAAGTTGGGCAGGATGAGCCACTGTTCACAGGGGTAAAGGACATTGAGCCGGGAGGCACAAGTCTCTCCTGTGGCCCAACTTCCATGACGATTAACGGCAGTGAGGCTTGCCAAGCGTGTAGCTACGTGCCTGCCAATAAGCCCTCCTCAACGACTCTGATGTATCTGATTTCTACTCTAATACGGGGCTTGGTAAGAACTTGCATTATGTCTTGGGGTGGGGGTCCCAGCTGACGCCAGAGATCATTCTCTCTGCCCGATACCCTCCCCCATCATGCCCAGGTGTGGGCCATTGGGGGCTTCTGACCTGACCAGGCCTAATCTAGAAGGGAGACCCACTGGGATCTCCAGACCTGCCAGGCCTTCCCCCACGAGAGGGGCCGGGGGCCATTCAGAACTACGGCATGGAGAACTTTCCAGGGGGGCCCAGGCATGTGATGTGGCCCCATGAGCTGGGGCTGGCCCAAGAGGGCGGCTGGGAGAACTGGGGAGCCTGCAGCCCACCAAAGAGGGCCTGGTATCCCTGTGAGTGTCCTGAACAGTCTCCATGTCCCCAGTCTGTGACCCTGGACCGCTTGGCAGTGGAACTCCAAGGTACTGCGAGCCCAGCTACCATACCTTTCAGTTTTTCAAGGGACTTCTAGGTATGATCATTCTCAGGTTTAAAAACCCTGCAGCGAGCCAAGGGGAGGGCTCTGCTGCTTGGAAGGAGTCCCTGGGCTGCCTGTTGCAGCTTCTGCTTCTCCAGATCTCAAGCGTTTGGCAGCCGAGGCGTCACTGCAGGGCCCAGGATTGGAGCGGGCACCTCAGACATGAACCAAGATCAGCACTACCACCCGTCCTGGCTCAAGACCACTCTCCTCGGGGAAAGGAAGCGCATCCCTCCCTGAGGCGCCCAGCCCTCCAGAACACTGTAGTCGCTTGTTGAAGAACAGTGCCCAGACTCTTCGACCCCTCATGCTGCCAAGTCCCGCTCAGGCTGGGTCTCAAGAGCCAGCAGCAGTCACGGGAAGTGCCACAGTTTTCCTCTGGAGGCCTGGAGGGTCAGCCCCGCCCAGGAGCCAGGCTGAGTTTGCTCCTGTCTAGCGCCTGGTGCCACCCCGCGTGGATCCTCAGGGAAGACAGGGAGGGCTGGGAGAGAAGCAACCAGCTGGTGGTGGGTGTGGGTCCACATTGGCACAGACCAGGGCCAGGCGGAACCTTCAGGATGGGGGTGGGGCAGGGGCCGAGGCCGTATTACATACCGTTGCCTTTGTCTGAGCGCTGTGGATGGCTGTTGACGGCGTTGGGGACCCCATGGGTGGCCCAGCGCGTGTGAGCAATGCCAAAGTGGGTCTCAAACTCCACCTTTAAGTCCATGCTGTCTTGTTCTAGATCAAAGAGAAAAAAAAGCATTGACACAGTACCGTTAGGGTGAGGTGACATCATTATATGGACGCACCTCAGCTACGTCAAAAGCATATCCCACCTTCCACCGCAAGGGCCCCACCCCGGGGATTTCTGCCAGATCCCTGCTGTGGTTTACTCAGTACTTACCAGTAACCTAACTCAGTAACTGAAATGAGCTTACTTAAAAAAAAAAAATTATGGATCGCTACTATAAATGGAAAAGCAGTATCATCTGCCAGAAAAATTAAAATAAATACTTAAGTACTGAAAAATTTAAAAAATGCTCATGCACCACCTCCTAAAAAAAAGAACAAACCCATCCCACACCCTGAGAAACACAGTTTTACAGTGTGGGCTGAACCCACCTTCCATTTATCCACCATATGAATCCATCCATTCATATTTTTAGTCTTAGGTGCTTCTGGAATGAGAGATTTTAAACTGACCCATGCTGCCTTTATTGCTCTGACTGGGCTTACGTTCCACTTACTATAAAGTTCCTCATCGAGAGCCTTGACGTTCCCTCTTTTCTTGACCAGCTGGATATGTCTTTCTTTGACTTCATTGTTATGTCCATCGATGGCCACACCTGTGGTTTACACATGATACTTTTTTTTTGTATTGGCATTGAAGTTTTGTCTCCCAGCCTTTGTTACAGGGTATGACCCCGGGTGAGGGCTGCACAGCACTGTGGGTCTACTGGATCTTGTTTGCCAGGCTGGTGGCCTGGAAGAGAACTCGATAGCATTCAGGACGCCGACTCAGAAAGAAGAGGCCATGGCCGCCTGATCCGGCGTCTACCCGGGGTGCAGCCCTGGAAAGCTGCCTGCAAGGGAGGCACCTCCAGGCCCACCACTGAGGGCAGCAGGTTTGCCAGAGGGTCTTGTGCACTGTGCACTCTCCTGCTATAACAGGTACCCCCCCCGCCCCCGCATCGGCGTTCCTGCGGGCTTTCATCTGACTTGCTCTCTGTGAAGAATTAACAGACATAAAACTGTCTGGCTCCCCCTTTCTCCCCAGACTGCTTAATTTAAAATGGGAAGTGGACCCACCTATCCATCAGAGGAGCGTGCAGCCACCAAGAAAGACCGTCAGGGAGAACAGAAAATGTGGGAGAGAGATGAAAACAGGACATAAAATTACAAATTTGTAGTAATGATCACGTTAAAAACAAAAAAATATCTATGCACGACACCCCCCGCCCCCCAGACCACCCCAGCGTGAGCAGCGACCAGAGCAGGGACACAAAGATATCGACGGGAGTGCTTTGGGTGGAGATTTTTTTTTTTTACTCTTATTTCTTCTTTTTACTTTTCTCTAGTTTTCGCATTAAATGAACAAATGCTCTGCGTACGCAGTGGCAGCCCACAGGACCCACCTGCCGAGTCATAGCCTCTATACTCAAGCCTCTGCAGGCCCTTAATGAGGGTCTCAAAAATCTCCTTCCTCGTCCGGGGGACTCTGTAGTTCATGTACGCAAAGATTCCTGTGGAAAGACAGGGAGAATCACATGTCTATCAGTAACTCGGTCAGTGTTTGGAAAACACCCGCTCTGGGGACACCCACATGGCTGGCATCGCCCGACGGCTTCTGGGCTGCACGTGTGGCCTTCCTCTGGCGTAAGCGAGAGCCGTGCTCCCCTCCTGCTTCGGGACGCATGTCACCCACAGCCCAGCCCGTGACAAAAGTCTCAGGGGGCATATGCAGAGCACATCAGACACCCTGGCCTGACAATTGTACTGTGGAGAATGTCTCCTATGGCTGAACATCTGAGACATGGTGTCATTTATAATAGCAAAGACCAAGGGGCGCCTGGGTGGCTCAGTCGGTCAAGCGTCTGCCTTCGGCTCAGGTCATGATCTCAGGGTCCTAGGATCGAGTCCTGTGTCGCGCTCCTTGTTCAGCAGGGAGTCTGCTTCTCCCTCTCCCTCTGTCCGCCCCCCCTTGCGTGATCATGTGTTCTCTCTCACACAGATAAATATTTATTTGACAGATAGAGAGAGCACAAGTAGGCAGAGAGGCAGGCAGACGGAGAAGGAGAAGCAGGCTCCCCGCTGAGCAGGGAGCCCAACACGGGGCTCGATCCCAGGACCTGGAGATTACGACCCTGGGATCTCGACCTGAGCCGAAGGTAGACGCTTAACCAGCTGAGCCACCCAGGTGACCCTAAAAACATAATTTTAATGGCCCGCAATGTGTCATCACAAAAATTAAAAAGTGGAATATACCAGTTTCCATCAAAACTAAGATGTCATCGGGATGCCTGGGTGGCTCAGTTGGTTAAGCATCTGCCTTCGGCTCAGGTCATGATCTCAGGGTCCTGGGATCGAGCCCTGCATCGGGCTCCTTGCTCAGTGAGGAGCCTGCTTCTCCTTCTCTCTCTGCTGCTCCCCCTGCTTATGCTCTCTCTCTCTCTGACAAATAAATAAAATCTTTAAAAAATACATAATAGCAAAGATCAGCAAAACCACCTGGCCACTTGGGGACATCTGGAAGTCCTATGTGGACTCCTTAATCTGCACAGAATTGGCCTGGGAAGAGTCCTCCTACAGCAGGTGAAACAGGGACTGAGGCTTCGACTCATTTCCGCTCGGTCCTATGGCCTAGAGCTTTACATCTGTAAATGCGGCTTTTACAAAGGCAAAAGTAAAACCATCTCTTGGCTCCGGAGAATCCCTATCTTCCAGGGAGATCTGCATGCCCTAAGGTTTTATTGGGCTGTATTTTCTGTATTTGTATTTGAAAATACTATTTTCTCAAATAAGAAGTAACAGTCGTCCTGTTGGTTCTCCCCAAACTCCTCCGCCCCCTCCCTGCTCGAGACTATGGACCCCTGGTCTGTCTCTGTCCCGCCCTGCGAGTTCCCTATTCTCTCATCCCTCTGTTCTTTTGTCCTCCCTGCTCCACTTGGGGGAAACCTGCCCTCCTCAAAGCTCAGCTCCCACTACCTCCCAGGGCTGGCTTGTCCCCTCCCAGGCCCCCCGCCGGATGTGCTCCCCTGCTCTGGGCCACCCCCATGCTCGTGCATCTTGGAATACCTTCATCCCCTGATAAGTACACCGGCTGACACTTCTATCTTTATAGTTCTCACTAGGTCTTGGCACACCATCCTTACTCAATAAATGTATGTGGAGTAGAGTGACTGTAAATCTACTTTATTCAGGGAAGCGAGAGCATGGATCGTGAAGAATACTGGCCTTCAGGAATATTCAGAGTAACTCATCTTATTGAGAACTCACTATGTGCCAGGCACTGGGCCAAGAGTTCCCACACAGGTGTGAATCAAAGCTCCCATCAGCCTTCGAGGCTGGACCTACCATGACCCCCCTTTACTTTCTGGAACAGAGCCTGGGGGGCTGTGACCGGGAACCAAGGAGATTTGACTTCAGCACTTAAAATGCTCCAAACTACTGGGCAGTGTTGCCTCAGGGACGAATGGGATTAAAAGGTTTATTTCCCCAATATTTTTAAAATTAATTAATTCATTTTTTTAATGTAGTGTTCCATGATTCATTGTTTGCATATAACACCCAGTGCTCCATGCAGTACGTGCCCTCTTTAATACCCATCACCAGGCTAACCCATCCCATGGAAAAGCAGTATCATCTGCCAGAAAAATTAA